AATGAATCGTATTGGATCTATTAAAAAAAACTCTCTCAATATTTTTTTTTTATTTACAAAACTTAAATTTAAAATTTTATTTAAAAAAAATCAAATTATTTCTGTTAAGACGTTCGGACGTTGAGAAGGTTATTCTTATATTACTGTTTGTATTCACTGTACAAAAAAGTGGCAGCAGCTTTCACTTGCGGACCTTTTTAACTTCCCGCGTGGGGTATATAACCCTTTTAACCATGAGGTAACTCAAATGCGCTGTGCACACGCTTTCCTGACACATTTCCCTTCCCCACTCGCATACCTACGCGATTTCATTACACGAGTTCTTTTTAACATCTTGGGCTTACTTTTTAATGGGCTTTAAATCCATTGATGAAGAAGCGGCTGAAGCCCAGAATCCGTTAGGCTCCACCGACCCAGTTACTGCCGAGCTTAGGTGGATCATGTAGACCCCACCACCGAGATAGAGCCACGTGGGACTCGTACGGATTGAAAATTACATTCCCCCACCACTATACAGCGTTAAAGGAGGGGACGATCGAAGTGTAAGGGATCGGAGACGGTACACGTTCAGATCGGAGTTTGGTTCAGGTTCAGGTCAGATTGTAGCAATTCTCGCCGGAAAGATTCGTAGCTGTCGATCATGAGTTTCCTCTTCGGCAGTAGAAAAACTCCCGCCGGTATCTTGCTTTTGATCCATGCTTCAATTCTGCTTTTATTTTTTTATTTTTATTGGAATTCATCGTTAGGATCGAAGAAATCTGTGATTTCGTGTTTATGGTTTTGAATGATTTGTAATTGAATTTATTTATTTATTTTTTGGTTGGGGATTGTTCTTCAGTTGACTCTGAAATCAAGGAAATTTGGATTAAATGAAGGAATGGGAAAATAGAATGCTATGTTTCTCTCTGCTACTTGTAGTGATTGTTCATAATTGAATAATTTCACGTTTTTATTGTGTTAATTAAGCCAATTTAATTGAATTTTTAGATGATTGGTTTTCTGATTGTGCATATGAAAATCGTTCAAATTCATGGCGGACTGGTTAGAATTGAGCGTAGTACTTGGCAATATTCACCTGAAAAAGTAACAAATGAATTGTTAGTACAATTTTTTGTTGTGATGGGTTTAATGGCATATTGGTTCTAAACATTGTGTCACTGTGAATGCTGTAGTTATATTCTGTTGAGTTGTTATGTGTTGTTTACGAATCATCTATGGTTGTGCTTTCAGAACTTCTGCGGGAGAACAAGAGGATGCTGGACAAATCTATTAGAGAAATAGAGAGGGAGAGACAAGGTTTACAGGCACAGGAGAAAAAACTGATTGCAGAGATAAAGAAAATGGCAAAGCAAGGGCAGATGGTGTGTTGTTTTGTTGTTTTACTTGCTTCTTTTTTTAATGTTCTAATAGCATGTTCTTGTTACATATAGATTCCTGTTTATAAGAGCTTGACAAATTTCTACTCTCTAAGCAAGGCTGTTTACATTGTGCAATCATTTGAAATTTGAGTATGAGCAGATTATTTTACACCCATTTGAAATTTGGTTAAAAAGATGGATCAAAGATAACTACTTTTAAAATTCACATGGATCTTCAAAACTGTTATTGATTATTATCCTAATTAATTTTGTCTGCTTCTTATGTAGTATGCTTCCAGTTGCTTTAAATCTTGACTTGCAGCATTTAGTATCTTGCTTTACATAATAAAAGGCTGCAGTGCATTCAAAGGAAGATATACTTTTGTTTCTTTGACCTTTGTTAACCTCTTCTTCTGCCCCTAGATTTATCAGAACTCCTAAACTTAGGAAGGTTGTTGACAGACATGGTCAGACATGAGTATAGTGAATGTTAATGTTGCATGTAATTTCATTTTTTTATAATCAATTTCAGGAACCTCTTACCCTAATATGTTTCATGTTATGCAATCTTATTTCAGGGAGCTGTGAAAGTGATGGCAAAAGACCTTATTAGAACACGGCATCAGATTGAAAAATTTTATAAGCTTAAATCACAACTCCAGGGTGTGTCTCTTAGAATTCAGGTATATATTCCCCCCGAAGAAATCTTTTTTCTTTCAGTTTTCTCTTCAAACTTCAAAATTCTCCCTTTTCTAGTGAATGGATAGTCTCTTTATGTAACAATAGTGGGGGACTATTACAAAAAGTTTGGCATGGGCTGGCAAATAAATGGACTGGGAAACCTTTCTTTTTATGGGTGTCAATATAGCTTGTATTCTTGACTCTCTATAATTGAATACTTAAAGGGTTAATGCAAAATTAAAAAGCATCGCCAATATATAGAATGCCTTGTGTCCTAGGTTATTCCATGTAATAAATTAATCATATGAGCAGGACCCTAACAAAAATTGCAGTAGAACTATTGTTGACATACAAAATTAAAGGTTGTGTTATAGTCTTGTGAATTTTACAATGTTTTCTTCCCACAGTAATTTTAAAATCTGAGCAAAATTATATGCATCTTTCAGACATTGAAATCAACACAAGCAATGGGAGAGGCAATGAAAGGTGTGACAAAGGCGATGGGCCAGATGAACAGGCAGATGAACCTGCCTTCTTTGCAGAAAATTATGCAAGAATTTGAGAGGCAAAATGAGAAGATGGAGATGGTGACTGAGGTAATGGGAGATGCAATTGATGATGCTTTGGAAGGGGATGAGGAAGAGGAGGAAACTGAAGAACTTGTGAACCAGGTCCTTGATGAGATTGGAATTGATGTCAATCAAGAGGTATATTATTTTCACTTTTTTTTAAATCTCTACATGGTGCTGTTAGTATGAAAACATTCCCTTCATTTCTGAAACTAAAGTGCAACGATTTACTAACTTCATCTGTTTAATGTAATTGGCAGCTTGTGAATGCACCATCATCTGCTGTAGCTGCACCAGCCACAAAGGGCAAGGTTGCGCAAGCAGAGGCAACAGGTAATGATGACAGTGGGATTGATAGTGAATTGCAGGCTAGGTTAGACAATTTGAGAAGAATGTAGTTTTCTATGGCTTGTCACCTACTTCTGTACAATACAGACATATGATGAACGGTGTATAGTAAGTATATTTGGATTGCAATCCAGAGGAAAATCTTGGCACAGATATAAATTCAGGATTTGAGATACCTGGATATTCTAATAAATTACTTTTGTAAATTTATACGTGCTTTATCCGGTAAATTCAGCTTTTATAATTTCACTGTTGCGAAGGAGTCTACCGGTCCAGTGGGCTAAAGTGCTTAATGGCTATATAGGTCTGGCAAGGGTTAACTTCAGGGCAATTTGCTGGTATTTACAAGTAGATGGTGCAATTTGAGGAAAAAGTTATTCGGGATACAGGGTGCATTTTCAGGGTTGGCCTTTTTAAATCTTTAAACATGTTTCTGTTTCTCGAAGCCAATTTTTCTGCACTAGGTTTTAATAAACACCAGGCCAGAAGGGATTTTTGGAATGACCCATGAGATGGGTTTATCAGAAGTTATGGGAGAAGAGCATAGACTAAGAAGTCCGATGAAGAAGATGAGTTAATTTCTCCGAAACTCAAGAAATTTCTATGATATATGGTGGATATATATTTAATATGGTTCATGAAAATTATCTTTGAAGGTAACATAGAAAATTAGAAACAAGGAATAAAGTACTTATATATATATATAAAGAATAAAGATGCAGCCAGGACGATGGTAACCTGAGTTACTGACGATTAAATGCTGAGATCAATAGAATAAGGGACTTTGTCTAGTGGAAAGTAATTAGAGCTTTACACTTTGGCGCTTTGCATAAAATTTGTTTATTTAGACACTGTTTAGATTTGTTTCATATAACTTTAAAAATTTTAGTATTATTTTGATACTGTTTAATATTACTCTGAATTAAAAAAAATCAAAAATTAAAATTGAAAACCAGATTTTTGTTGATTTTCAAAAAGTTAAGATTCATGTTGTAGAGTATTAATCTTACCGAAGCAAATAGCACTAATTAAGCAAAATTTTTATAACAATAAGAGTTTAATCGAATTAATATTTATTAATTATAAAATATTATTTTAAAGTCAAAGTTAATGCTCAAATCTTTGTAATGCTAATGATATGTTGACAATATTTTGTTGATAACGAATTTCCACTATCATAGTCACTTGACGTAAGGATTTATTTACTTATTAGAAGACCCATTAAAGACTACAGGCAGCTCAGTGTTGTGAAAACACTGAAGAGGACATTTATGCTCTTTTCTGGCAAGCAAGTAAAGGATAAATTCTGTTCTAAAGAAAAAGGATGGAGACAATTGTGCTCTTTTCTGTTAAAGATAGGACGATTCACATTATGCTTTAAAGAAAGAGAAATTGTGTATGTATCAAGCCATCGGTTTAACTTCTTGCTGCTCCTTTTTCTTCACTATATATATTCACTAAGCATGGACTCAACTCAGTGTGCTCCTCCAGCTTTCACTCTTTAGCTCTCTTTTTCTATCAACATTGCATTATGTCAATTATTTTCCTCTGAAATTAATAATTGACAACAGCTAGCTTCTTCTTCGTTTCTGCAAATTCCAATCATACTTTTAGTTTCTTATTGTTTATTTTACTACTTTACCATCGAAACCAACTTGAAAAAGCTTAAAAGCAAACCACCTGTATTTTCCCTCTGGAAGCTGGAAAAGTTATGGCAGAGAAGACTGGAGCAGAAAAACTGGACGACATAGAAACAGGAAACACAGAGACGGATTCTTGTTCAATGAATATTGAGATTCCGAAGGCAAGTGCTTCAACACCAACAGAGCCTCCAACATCAGCAACTCCTCATGAGAATCCAGTCAGAAAGGAGTCTGCAAATACCAAAAAAAGTAAGAAGTGGGAAACATTAGAGGTTATTCTGGCGACTGTTGCTGTGTCTGTGTTTGGTGTGATTTCCTTGGTTTGTTCTATCGTTTATAAGATTGTTGCTCCTACGAAGTTCACAATTTGGGTGTTACTAGAGTGGATTGCATTGTTTTGCTTTACTGGATTTTTGTTTGCTATTCTATCTTCCTACAAGCTGCAAAACGATTTGATTTGGGAGTTTGAATTGTGGAAATGGTGTGTAATGATAATGGTTCTTGTGTGTGGTAGAATGGTTTCTGAGTGGATAGTAAATGCTGTTTTTTTGTTGACTGGCTGGCTGTTTGCTGACAAAATAAAGGTTTACTATTTTGTTTATGGATTGAAGAAGAAGCATGGTGTTTTTGTTTGGTGGGGTTTGGTTCTTTTAGCCTGGCTTTTGTTGGTTGATGAAAATGAAGGAGAGCGAGCTGGGAGATGGAGATTGAAGGAAACCAGGGACATCCTGGTTTTTATTACCAGGGTTATTGTTTCACTTTTCATTGGGGCTGGTTTATGGCTGGCGAAGGATCTTTTGGTCTGGTCAATTGCTCGTTCTTTCCAAACGGAAAAATTGTTTGACAGGATTATGAACGCAAAGTTTCATCAACATGTAATTAAGCTTCTCTTAGAAGTTCCATGGTATATGAGAATGGGGATGAGAAGATCTGGCCGCCACCGCTTGTTCAATTGGGCAGAGGAAATCAGAAAGGGAAAAAAATCAGCCATCTCAATAAAAACATTTATTGATGTCATAAGCAGTCATGATGATAAGCTCAAACTTGAGGGCAAGGATGCAGAGAGCATTACTAATGAAATTTTTAAAAACAGGTAATCAAAGTAAACAATATTAATTACTGATTTATATATTTAATCTTCTCTGACATTTTCACTAATTCTCTCTGTTTGATCACTAGGCCCGAGGGCTCAACTAGTATTGAAAAGGACGACTTTTTAT